GCTGAGTTCATTTCAATTTATTTGTCTTTAAATACATTTTTCTATCTCTACTTCTCTATGATCAAAATAGTAGCAGCAAGCTCTCTTAGCCGTTCCATTGCAAAACTTGACGAATCTAAACAACATAAGCTTGCCGATTCTGTTCTTTCTTTGCCTGGCCTAAATCTTGACCCTAATACAGCAAACTATTGTTACGATTATTTAACGTCAACCCAGCTGAGGAAACGTAACCTTATACTGTGGCATGACCTACTCAACAACACAATAACATCACATCCAAAAAAGAAGAACATTCCCCAAACGGTTGATCAACTCATCGCGACTCTGAAAACAATTCCCAATCTCTTCTGCTTGTCACATGTCAACGAGTACGAGCTCCGTACATTTTTGATGACCTTGTGCAGGCCTTGGACTGTTACGTCATTGACGTGACAAAGCACGTTATCAGCGCGTCTGAACAAATCGACGAATCGGTGCTTGCTGAGTATCGCAGACTTCATCAGCATTCTGTCATTCAGTTACGTACTTTGGCCACTGTACTGCACTATTACCCCAACATCAAACGGATCTTAAAAACGCGTGGTACGAAGCGAAGATCAGCTGGAGAGAGACGCGAGGCGAAAAGACTAAAATACTAAACAGGTAGGCGTGCTTATCGAGTCTCTGGCTCTGAGCCCCTCCCTACAAGTACTGAAGTTGTTTTCAGATTTACTCTTTACATAGGTGCGCTTATTGAGTCTCTGGCTCTGAGCCCCTCAAAGATGTCTAAACATAACACTCGAAATCGAGTCAAATCAATCTCTGATTCATGCTTCACCTGTGATGAGAAAATCCTGAAAAAAGAAAACTCATTCGACTGCTTCGTCTGCGGCTGTCGAATGCATCTGACTAAAAATTGTACTGGCCTGAGTGAAGCGGCTGTCAATGGAGTACTGGCTATCGGAAAAAATGCCTTACTTCTTTGTAACAAGTGTATCGAAGAGAAGCGCCACGAAAAGCTAGCACAATCTGCCCATGTGAACACGGTCTCAAATGAACACCAAGAAAGTCAGATGAAAAACCTTGAAACCGAAATGACTGACCTTAAGAAAACTATGTCCGAAATAAAAACGCTTCTCACAAGGAAACCGCCCGATTCCGGGCAACCAGCCCAAAATAGTCCGACTACCAAATCACAAGAACAAATGCCGAAACCTCCCGAAGAACTCGATGGAATTCGTATACGTGGTATCCCAGAATCAACGGAAAAAGAAGCAAGAGTACGCCAAGAACACGACCTTGCAGAAGTTCAAAATGTACTAACCCATATGGAAGTCAATGCTATTATAGGCGACGTCATAAGACTTAGCCGATATGAGGAGAACAAAACGAGGACTATCCTATTAAAAGTTCCAGATGCATATCAGCGTCGAATGGTACTGCTATCGGCGAGAAAGCTGAAAACTTTCAGTCAACCAATCTTTCTCAGCAAACAACTGACAAAAGAAGAAGCTACCTTGTTAACTTAGCTCTTGTGAGACGACGAGAACTGATAAATGAAGGCACCGATCCGAAAAATCTGCGTGTTCGTGACGCAACCCTGTTAATTCGACAGGGCGCAAAGTGGACAAAAGAGAAGCTTCCCGTGGCGGACGAATGACAAGCAGCTTTCATAAATATACTAATTTTCAATGTGAGAAGTATACCTGAATACCAACGCCGAACAAATTTCTCCAATGCCGTTCAAGTGAAAAATAATTATCAAATTATCTGCCTAACAGAAACCTGGCTCACAGAGAGCTTTAGCGATATAGGTCTGTTTCTAACCAACTATGCGATACATCGAAAAGACAGACTATCTGATAAAGGGTTGACAAAGCATGGCGGTGTACTGATAGCAGTAAGCAAAAACATTCCAAGCTCTCAAATTGACTCAATTTTTCAAGACTGTGTGATAATTCGTATATGCTTAAATTAAACATTCCTAATATGTTGACTTTACAGCGCCCCGTCAAACAGTGCGTACACATGGACTCTTCCGGACATCGTTGAGCTCCTAAAATTCATTAGGCGAAAACAGTTCGAATACAGTGCTGTTTGCTCATATATAGCTGGAGACATCAATCTTTCATCTACACACTGGCCCTCAATGAGGTCAACATCTCTCTTCGAGCAAACAATCCTTAATGAACTATGTGAATCAAATTTTCAGCAACTCATAAAAACCCAGGACGGAAGGTCACTGGATGTTCTCTTTTTCAATAAACCCCAGTATGTGACAAGCATAGTCATTGATAACCATCAGAGAAGTCTCTTCAATTCTGATCACAAACCCTATCAAGCTAAAGTCTCGTTTGACATCCGACCTGTACATATCTCTTCACCGTCTCCCAAACAAAAGCTAGACTTCGGTATATTTGGTTACAAGAAAGCTAACTGGAAAGAAATTATTGAGTTCATTCTCCAACATCCCTTCCGACCATACTGCATGAGCAACGGGGACTTGATGGTCGAACTTTGGTATAAGTGGCTACACGAAATATTAAAGGATCTTCTTCCAATAACTAGAAAACATAGGTCCGAACTGGCTCCATGGGTAAGTGGCAACTCTTCAAACCTCATCAAGAAGTTAAATACACTTCAATTGAAACAACAACGGCAGCCCACGCCGTAAAACAAAATCAAAATCGAATGTCTACAAACTGAGCTCACCCTGTCGCTTCAAAATGACCAGCATCTACATTAGATGACGCTCTTCAAGGAAGGCAAATTCAGCGACATACAGAGATACTTGAAGTCGATCACCAAGTCGAACACTATCCCTACCGGAATTTTTTTGGATCAAAGAACTGCCAATACAGATATTGAAAAAGTAATATTATTCAACGAACACTTTCAATCAGTGTTCACTCAAAACACCTACTATACGAAAATACGCGAAAAAAATAGCACCCTATTAAATCAGATACACTTTACGACCGATGAAATAGAAAACGTTCTGCAAATACTGGATGTAAATAAAGCCAAAGGACCGGATAAGATCGGGAACTTACTTCACTGCCGAAATCACTGCACTTACTGTTTAACCTCATCGCAAATAAAGCCCCATTTTCCGGAAAAATGGAAAATCAGTGAAACTGCACCAATATTCAAAGACGAAGATAAACAAGATGTGAGTAATTACAGGCCTATCAGCCTGCTTTCAACAGTTTCAAAACTGCTAGAGAAACTGATTTTCGAGAAGCTGACTCCAATTGTTTACCCAACTCTGGCATCATCCCAACATGGTTTCAGACCCAAACGGTCACCTATAACGAACCTTATAGAATATCTACATGAAATCTATAGCTGCTTAGAGTCTGAAAACTTCTCCTATCTGAATATCTTCTATATAGACTTCGAGAAAGCGTTTGACAAAGTCACGCATGAGCTTCTCATACAAAAGTTGGCTGCTCTGGGGATTGGTGGAAACTGTTTGAATCTGTTAAGAAGCTACCTCTATAAACGGAAGCAAACTGTGAGACTAAATGACACTGTTTCAGATGAATTAGAAGTATTCAGTGGCGTACCACAAGGCTCCATCCTCGGACCGCTCTTCTTCTTGGTTTTCATAAACGATCTTCCATCATGTGTCATGTCCAAATCGTTCAGTTATGCTGATGACTACAAAATTGTAGGCGACAACCCTTTAACACTGAATATAAACGTTAGAAAACTGTGGCGGTGGTGTGACGAAAATTTCATGTCAATGAACTTAGGAAAAAGTAAAGTGCTCTGCATTAAAGGTACAGCTCTTATTGCACTGCCAAACCATGAATTTGAAACAACTGAATGTATGAAAGATCTGGGAATTCTCGTAAATGACACACTCTCGTGGACTCTGCATGCAAAGAAAAGGACCGAAAAAGCCTTGAACGCTCTCTTCATCCTTAAACGGAATCTTTCAAAAGCGACATTTTGGACCAGAAAGAACGCATATATCTGTTATGTTGTGCCAATTTTAAACTACGGATCAGCCCTTTGGAAAACATCAAAAGGCTACTTAGGTACTCTTGAAAGTATCCAGCGAAAAGCAGTATCATGGATCTTCATCACAAACAACATATCCTACAAGGATAAGCTCGTGAAACTGGATATCCTTCCAATCTCCTTATATCAAAAACTTCATGTTATTCTCTTGTTTGCCAAAATACTAACCGGAAAAGTTGACATAGACTGGCGTAGTCAAGTAACCATCACAGACATCGGTACCCGAAGAACACAAGCAAAACGAAATTTTGCCTGCTAACAAATACGTCTGAAGAAGTGTGAATCCGATTACTGGTTTCGAGCTTGCCGTCTGGCGAACCTTTTTAACGATTACTTCAAATTTGACATAATCTTTAATCCAGGATGCAAAATTAAACTGCTGGAAGTTTATACAAAGTTCTTCAAAACCCGCTACAACGAATCAGATTCATGCACTTGGCGGATATTATGTGGCTGCAACAACTGTAGATATTTGAAGAAACTAAACTTTAACAACTGAAGCACGAACGTTGAACGTCCCAGTCACTGGGTTTTATGCGAACCCTTGGGTTAGTCCTAAATTCTTTGTTATTATTATTATGATTATTATTATGGGCTACTTGTATAGCAACCGACTATCCTTGTTCAATTTAAGAATTATCTTTAAGCTCTTTCGTTCTCAAAATTTTTTGATAGGTTAAAAACTTTTTAATCAAATCAACTATATATTCAAACAATCTGAAAATTTACAATTTACTATACAAATGTTTTTTTTTATGTATATATTGTTAGTATACAATTACGTTTCACTTTACAATAGAAGTAGAGGAATATGCTAGTAGAAAACAAACCAGCCGAATTATAAACCAGACTGATCGTACCACGGCAAAGCCCTGAATATTTCGACTGCCCTTTAAATAGTCTCGGATAGTTGTTGGTAAAATAAAAATTGGCAAAACTATGAATTTTACGCTAACAAAATTTAAAAAATTAGGTTTTGCAATTTGAGTCGCGTATGGATTACTAAAACCAATAATCTGCCTGAATTCAATTTCGAACGACTTTGTAGTGCACCCCATTATACTAACCTGTCATTAGTATGTCCAAAACTGCTCGCTTTATAATACGGCACTACAAAATCGTTATAAACTGAATTAAGGCAGCTAATTGGTTTTTATTAACACGAGCATTTATGGACATACTCTTGGCAGGTTAGTAAAGTGATGTGCACACTCGTTTGGCCCATGCAGATCAAGAGATCAACGGATAAGAGTTTTGTAAGTGTTCTGAATAAAAATAACCACCCCGAGCATATATATTCCTCTTTTTTCTTCTTCTAAAATCGGAGCAAAAAGCTATCATATAAAGCATTGGAATGTGCGTTATTGTTCTATAATTGTTATGTTCTACTTAGGTAACAGTTACAATAGTCACGCAAGTTTTATTCATTTAAGTAATAGTTCGGCTGGGTTATTTACTCAGCGCTTTTGGTTGGTTTATACTTCGGTCGGTAAATATTTGAGACACTATATCTGTTTTTTTTTTTCAGATTAATTGTGCAGATATCGTTCAAGTTAACTCAGAAGATGAAACAGAAGATGATTTAATAGCAAATGTGATTCCCTTATTTTCAGTTTATGCTTTCGATCAGATGCTTGACGATGTCTTCGGCGTATCTGAGTTGACACCACTCTGGTAGATCCAAACTGGCGAGTTCTTCGTCCTCTAAGTACCATGCCTCGAAGCACTGCGTTACAATACTGAAACAGATCAATTTTGAGCTACATTCATAAGCGTTTTTTGTTAACGTTTTTAATTACCTCAAACAATACAAATAATTTATTAAATCATTCCTCATGATGGTTTTTCTACAATCAACCATTTTTCGATAAGCTTTCAAACATTCAATTATCGTTTCCAACTTTTTCCCCCAAAACTAATTTCTAGCGGTTTCAGCTAGAAATTTCAGTCGGTTTTCGAGCAAACTTATTGAGTTAGATTTATATGACGCTTAGTTAGCATTCTTGATAAAAAGTTTCAATGCCTTACTGGTAATCTGGCTTCATTAAATCAGGGACATCTAAATACAGAACTATCATTTCGTTCAAGTAAGTCAGCAACAAATATTTCTCCTTGCTCGACAATTTGTTCAGGGCTTTTTTCTGAGGCGAGTCGAGTTTATCTCTGTATTCGGGTAGCATCCCTTGATAGGGTTCTTCGCCCCTGTGTTCCAGCATTAGTGTCGTTCGCTGTAGAGCCAGTGCTTGCCAGAGAAACACACACGACTCAAGTCTGATGTCTCTGATTCCTAAACCAAGTTGCATCGGTTAACTAAAAGAAGACCGGCATGGTCTTTGTGTCTTCATTTAAATACAGTTTGTGTTCTCGTGCTGAACAATTTCTTCGGCGTGTAGGTAGTTGAGGCATGATTATTTAACCGAATTTGAGTTTGAGTAATGGATACAGCTTCTGCTTTCGGTTCTGTACGCTAATTGACTTGCATATATAACACGAGTGGCGGGCCAGTAGCATACCACTTGCTTATTTTGTTCAAATTTTCATGGCGTCAAAGTAGTTGCTTAGTTTACTCCAATGTTTTTCAAAATAGGTCTTTTAGCATACTCTTTTTTTCATTTTGCGAGAAAATATTAGTTAGCACGTACACAAATAAAAATTTACCCCCAGATATACCTCAGAAATATACCCATCTGTAGCCATACTACCCAAGCTCGATTTTTTGGCTGTGCCCAAACTCGATTTTTTGGAAATTTTAGTACAATCATGACTGCTCGCATATCATGACTGCCCTTTGATTGGTCTCAAACAATTTTTGGCAAAGGAAATTTTTGGCTATGCCTTGATGCTCGAAATGAAATGTTTCCAAAAAATATGCTTTTATTAGGAACAAGACTACTCGTACATCAGGGCAAATCCTTGAATGATCCGACTTCACTTTAAGGCTAAATAAAAAAATTGGTTCAATAATTGACGTAATCAAAAAAAAAACAATTTTTTCTTTATCTTATCCCCACACGCTATGCCAAACACAAAGCGTGCATTAAGCGTCTTGTTTTGCTTTAATGGAATGATGGATTGAATTGCGAGTCTCAAATCAATTTTGAAGGCATCAAATTGCCGCTTAATATATCGAGCGTTTATTATTTTAAATTGCACGTAAATTATCTCACATTTGCCTAACTATCCGCTTTCAAATCCACGTAACTTTGCAAAAAAAGATAACAGGTAAATTATATTTTGTTAAATTTGAGCACAGGACAACAATATTTTTCAGATGGCAAAAAATTTTGTCAAAATTGCTTAGTTAAAAAATATAATACTGACTACCCCAAGCATAAATATTCCGCACTCTCTTCGAAAGTCGGAACAACATGACTGCACGTAAATCAGGTCGAAACCATGGATGTTTCAGCTGCCCTAACTGGTTTCGAATACTTTCTGGCAAAAAAAAAGAAAATTATTAAGTGCTAGTTTTAGCCGTATAGGAAACTATATGTTCAAAACTAAATGTTTATATTTAATTCAAAACTAACAAACAATTCTTCACGCTAAAAGAAATCAAAACCAGACAAAATGATTTTAAAATAAAACTGATTTAAATATTTTTGTCATCTCTGATATTTGTTTCCTGACTATTAACTTTTTTGGGGTCGTCTAATTTGCTTTTTGTCTAAACTCCTGTCGCCCGTAAATTCTTCATTCACATAAATTGTTATGCCGATCACCGAATTTGATCTAATGGAGAAAATCAACCCAAGCTAAAATATAGTTTAATTTTTTCGGGTGTTTTAGCAACAAGTGTAACATGATAAAATTTTGGTACGATCTCCGTTGTTTGAAAATAAACACTGTATGCGAGTTGAAAACTGAAAACTCGGAACAACCAGACTGCTTGTAGCATAGCGAAACCCAGATTTTCTGATTGCTTTTCAAATTATATGAACTAGTTTTTCTTTTATAAAGTTGATAAATAAAACAAGGCTGTTAAAATCAGGGCGACGCCCCGAATATTGCACTGCCCTTTAAAGTCTTATTCAGTAGTGTTCAATTTAAATGAAAATGATGAAAATTTTAAAAAATAATAAAACCTTGTTTAAAAAAGTCTTTTTTTTTCCTGAAAATCATCCACCACATGCTTAAGTAAAAAGTGATATATTTAGCTCAAATTGTTCTATCAACTAGAATACATAAGATGCCTCAACTCCATTTGAAACAATTTCTTACGCACTAATAGCCCGAAATACACAGCGTGTTATTTGTCCCAAATTGGCCAAGTCTTCAAGCCCTTGAAGATTCAGGCCCGGTAAAATATCTTTTTCAATTTGAGCCTAAGGACAACAATGTCATTCCGATGATAGAAAGTTAGGCCAAAATGGCTAGTTAAAAATCTAAATTGATCCGGAGAAAAAAACTTCGCCGAGAACAAATAATTTGTCATTTTTTTTGAAGTAGTCGGAACAAAAGCAAATATTCGGTCAATTGAGTATGTGCGTTATTTGCTACTTTAATAAAGTACAAAAATGATGTGATGTCTTCATAATTTTGTTAATTTAATAATATTTCATCTAAATTCAAGTTTACCGGAGTTTGAACGCATTTGAGTTTGTTTAAGGCTACGACTCAGGTGTAAATGACGTTTTTACTTTTCACTTAAAAAGCACTTAAACTGCACCAGCGGTGCCAGACAAAATTATTGGAAAAGGGTACTCGTTTAGAAGTAGGGTCCCGCCGTTTTTGATGATCCCCATTCGAAAGCTTGCTTAGAAGTATGGTCTCGCCAGACCAATTGAGTTATACTTAAAACACTTAAATACTTCAAGTAGAAAACAAAAAGAAAACTTGTAAACATTTTTTCGTTAAATTTGCCCCTAAAGTTTTCTTCAAAATTAAATTATCACACAGAGGCGAAGCAAATATTTTATCACACAAAAATTTCAAAAAAACCAGATCTATAGATAAGGCTAGTTTTAGAACAAAAACGAAACAAGACAATAGACTGGGAAATAATCATCAAAAGAAAACTTATCAAGCGGTAACAAAGCCGAAAAAATAAATAATTTTAAGACTAATAAAAAGTTAGTCTTATTAAGTACCCCTCACCGTGAAATAAAAAGACCCCCTCACCGTCAAAACATATACATAGCTCGTGAAACGGCGTATTATGATGCGAATAAGCCGGTGTAATATAGGCCGAAACCTATCAAGACGAAAAAAAATAGGAAATCAAAAAACACAGAAAAGACTCAGAAGTTATTAAGTCCGCCTCACCCTCAAAACACAGACACGCACATACACACTTTTTTCGCCCATCGAAAGGCGCAATATGCTACTATTAAATGGATATAATACAGGCCGAAACTTATCAAATTGAAAAAGAAAAAACAAAAAAGCTGTTGTCATGCAAAAGAAAAAACAAAAAAAAAACAAAGAAAAAACAAAACAAAGAAAAAAGAAAAAAATTGTTGTCATGAAAAACCTAAACTATAATTTCTATCAAGTTTTTTAGCATTTGTGCGATTCAGAGTTGAGTATAGAAATTAGGTTTCCCATGAAACTACTCGAAACCAGGCCACTAAGCCGACATAAAATAAGGCGAAGCCTAATAAGCCAAAAAAGGACAAAATTTTTTAAAAAAAAATGCATCGAGTTGGAAAAATCATAAGCAACATCAACAGCAAATGTTGAAAAGGACAGATAATTAAAAAAACAAACTGAACCATGCTGAATATTTGCAGCCGAGATGAGTAAGATTTGCAAAGAGGTGAAGGAGTCTAGAAAGGAGTCCTGTGGACAAAGTTGTTCTTGGGAAAAAAATTCACTAATTGCAATACAAAACAGAAATTACTTATGAAAATTTTTCAGTATGAATTTTATATCGGACCGTTGCTAGTTTTTCTGGATCATACTTCTACACGAGGTTTATAACGGGACCACACTTCTGAACGAGGACCTAGAAAAGATAGCCACGATATAGCAGATCTCAGTCTATAAAAAAGTATTTCTCATTTGCAAACCTGACATTGCCTCTATATTGATGTTCTCGAGGAATTGACCGATGGTTTGCTTGGGGTCGTCTGTTCTATTCTCGTCCAGGTACTTCATCAGGAGCACCAGTTGTCGCAGCATCTTGCACACTTCTGGCATGTCTGTATACCTGCTTTGGATCTTCTTCTTCTCACTAGGGGCCAATTTCTTCACGAAAAAACTACCATTAGAGCTTCTTTCAAAGCGATAACAAAATTTTACTGCGGTTGCTTACCAGATTTTAAAAAGAAAACATACAGTTTGTTACCTAACGCTCGAGCCCACCCGAAAAGAAGGAAAGATTAATTAAATTCGATTAAGTTAAAAACTTTCAGTTAGACACAGTAGTGTATTTAGGTAGGGAAAACCTACATCCTTGGGAGCTCAATCCATTCACCACCCGTAGAGCTCCCTTTTAGTATTGTTTTACGACATCTGTTTTAAATTACAAAATTCTTTGATTCCTCGCCAATAAAAACCTTTTTTGGAGCGCGCCAAACCTTCCAAAATTGCTTGAAAATGTCCTGTTTTTCTTCAAGTTCACCTGCGGTGGAAAAAACTTTCTGAAGATACGACTTTTGATCTGTATAGTGTTTTTAACCTGGCCGACATAGAAAAAAAGGTTGGCAAAAAAATTCGCACCCCTCTCGAGAAAGTTTTATATCAGGGCCTGTCTCGACGATACTAAAAGAACTAGAGCGTGATACTGCTACGGAGTTTTTTTTGTTCTGACCATTGAAAATAGGGAGAAGCTTTGTATTAGCTTTGTATTTTCTTTGCGTTTTAGTTTTTTCTTTTTTTTTCCACGCAAAACCAGATACCGCATATAATTGTCGGAATGGGTCAAGGGATATATGATATTAAAGCTCTTTCAGTCGTGATGAAGATGCAACAGATCTTTTGATTACAACATGCTGAAAAAAACGACACCAATTTGAAAAAAAAATGTATTCTTTAAGACTGTGGTCGGAACATTCTGAGCTATTTGCGCAGTAACCAGCTATCCTTGTTTTCATTTAGATTTTATTTATGGAACACTGATGGATTCCATGATGGATTCTTCTTCTCAGATTGATGAAAACTTACAAGGTTTGCGTATTGGGTTCCTAATAGATAAGGCACCAGCTGAACCTGAAATTTTTTAAGTTTGTATTGTGATTATCTCATCTATGCGATCAACGCAATGTGCGGTCTAGGAACATACTTTTTTATTATCATACCGGCTCACAAGCATACAAAACATAGCCAACTGAAAGTTCGAAAAGAGAAATTAACGCAAGAAAACGGAAAAAACTGACTTTGGAAGAAAAAAATAGATGGCCCTACAGCTCTTTGAGTTTGTAAAACAATTTATGATGTACTTTTTGTTGAAATTAACCCAATTTGAGAAAACTGGATCGATAGGCAAAATTTTTATTTCGCTGGTAAACCTGATAAGTAATTTCCATTATCGAAATGAAAAGTCGATCACGTTTTTTGATCTTTACCTTTTGCAGTTCGATAATGGAGTTTGCTTTCCTTTTAACAATAGAAACACACTGAAGTCGAAAAAAAATCACGAAAAATCCAAAATAAAAAAAAATCAGCAAGACCTATATCAGAGTACTCATTACGTTCAATACTCTTAACTAGAGTGTTGCTGGAACAGCATTCAACAAACAGCATGGACAACAAAAGAGTGACAGCCGAAGTCGCGCTCATGTTTTGCGAGTTTTGCCAAGAAGCATTTTGTGAGATAAGGATGCTCTATGTCATCGACGATATCGCCAAAATAATTTTGGGTTTACTTTAAATATCGCTGATCAATCTTTCGGGCAAAAAAGAAAAAATTTGAACGCGTTTTTCCTTCAAGTTGGATTGACTTAAGATAAACGTGAAAAAAGCAAGTTGCTTACAATTATATCGAAATAAATAGGGCGTTTTTTTGCAAAACTATTACTAAACATTGACCCTAAACCAGTGTAATCTTCGGCGGCGCTTAGTTGATCAAAACTTACAAATATCGGATAAAATTGGCAAAAACGGAAGTAATATGAAGGCATAAAAGATTTTATGGTTTAGTCCTCAAAAACATTTTTATGATAGCCACAAAATTGTCGCTTTTGCTCCATCAAAGAAAAGATACAGTTTGTTACCTAACGCTAAAGCCCACCCGAAGAGAAGGAAAGATTAGTTAAATTCACTTTAAAAAACTCAATTAGACACAGTAGTGTGTTTAGGGAGGGAGAACCTACATCCTTGGGGGCTCAATTCATTAACCACCCATAGAGCTCCCTTTAAGTTTTATTTTACCGACATCTGTTTTAAATTACAAAATTCTTTGATTCATCGCCAATAAAAACCTTTTTTGGAGCGCGCCAAACCTTCCAAAATTGCTTGAAAATTTCATTTCGACTTGTTTTTCTTCAAGTTCACTTGCGGTGGAAAAATTTTTCTTAAGATACGACTTCTGATCTGTATAGTGTTTTTAACCTGGCCGACATAGAAAAAAAATTTGGCAAAAAAATTCGCACCCCTCTCGAGAAAGTTTTATATCAGGGCCTGTCTCGACGATACTAAAAGAACTAGAGCGTGATACTGCTACGGAGTTTTTTTGTTCTGACCATTGAAAATAGGGAGAAGCTTTGTATTAGCTTTGTATTGTCTTTGCGTTTTAGTTTTTTCTTTTTTTTCCACGCAAAACCAGATACCGCATATAATTGTCGGAATGGGTCGAGGGATATATGATATTAAAGCTCTTTCAGTCGTGATGAAGATGCACCAGATCTTTTGATTACAACATGCTGAAAAAAAACGACACCAATTTGAAAAAAAAAAATGTATTCTTTAAGACTGTGGTTGGAACATTCTGTGCTATTTGCGCAGTAACCAGCTATCCTTGTTTTCATTTAGTTTTTAATTATGGAGCACTGATGGATTCCATGATGGATTCTTCTTTTCAGATTGATGAAAAATTTACGAAGTTTGCGTATTGGGTTCCTGATAGATAAGGCACCAGCTGAACCTGAAATTTTTTAAGTTTGTATGGTGACTATCTCATCTATGCGATCAACGCGATGTGCGGTCTAGGAACATACATTTTTATTATCATACCGGCTCACAAGCATACAAAACATAGCCAACTGACAGTTCGAAAAGAGAAGTTAACGCAAGAAAACGGAAAAAACTGACTTTGGAAGAAAAAAATAGATGGCCCTACAGCTCTTTGAGTTTGTAAAACAATTTATGATGTACTTTTTTGTTGAAATTAACCCAATATGAGAAAACTGGATCAATAGGCAAAATTTTTATTTCGCTGGTAAACCTGATAAGTAATTTCCATTATCGAAATGAAAAGTTGATCACGTTTTTTGATCTTTACATTTTGCAGTTCGATAATGGAGTTTGCTTTCCTTTTAACAATAGAAATACACTGAAGTCGAAAAAAAATCACGAAAAATCCAAAATGAAAAAAAAATCACGAAAAATCCAAAATAAAAAAAAATCAGCAAGACCTATATCAGAGTACTCATTACGTTCAATACTCTTAACTAGAGTGTTGCTGGAACAGCATTTTCAACAAACAGCATGGACAACAAAAGAGTGACAGCCGAAGTCGCGCTCATGTTTTGCGAGTTTTGCCAAGAAGCATTTTGTGAGATAAGGATGCTCTATGTCATCGACGATATCGCCAAAAAAACATTGGGTTTACTTTAAATATCGCTGATCAATCTTTCGGGCAAAAAAGAAAAAATTTGAACGCGTTTTTCCTTCGAGTTGGATTGACTTAAGATAAACGTGAAAAAAGCAAGTTGCTTAGAATTATATCGAAATAAATAGGGCGTTTTTTTGCAAAACTATTACTAAACATTGACCCTAAACCAGTGTAATTTTCGGCGGCGTTTAGTTGATCAAAACTTACAAATATTGGATAAAATTGGCAAAACCGGAAGTAATATGAAGGCATAAAAGATTTTATGGTTTAATCCTCAAAAAATTGTTTATGATAGCCACAAAATTGTCGCTTTTGCTCCATCAAAGAAAAGATACAGTTTGTTACCTAACGCTAAAGCCCACCCGAAGAGAAGGAAAGATTAGTTAAATTCACTTTAAAAAATTCAATTAGACACAGTAGTGTGTTTAGGGAGGGAGAACCTACATCCTTGGGGGCTCAATTCATTAACCACCCATAGAGCTCCCTTTAAGTATTATTTTACCGACATCTGTTTTAAATAACAAAATCCTTTGATTCATCGCCAATAAAAACCTTTTTTGGAGCGCGCCAAACCTTCCAAAATTGCTTGAAAATGTCATTTCGACCTGTTTTTTGTCAAGTTCACTTGTGGTGAAAAAATTTTTCTTAAGATACGACTTTTGATCTGTATAGTGTTTTTAACCTGGCCGACATAGAAAAAAAAAGGTTGGCAAAAAGTTTGCACCCCTTTCGAGAAAGTTTTATATCAGCGCCTGTCTCGACGATACTAAAAAAATTAGAGCGTGATACTGCTACGGAGTTTTTTTGTTCTGACCATTGAAAATAGGGAGAAGCTTTGTATTAGCTTTGTATTTGCTTTGTGTTTTATTTTTTTTATTTTTTTTCCACGCAAAACCAGATACCGCATATAATTGTCGGAATGGGTCGAGGGATATATCATATTAAAACTCTTTCAGTCATGATGAAGATGCAACAGACTTTTCGATTACAACATGCTGAAAAAAAACGACACCAACTTGAAAAAAAAATGTATTCTTTAAGACTGTGGTCGGAACATTCTGAGCTATTTGCGCAGTAACCAGCTATCCTTGTTTTCATTTAGATTTTATTTATGGAACACTGATGGATTCCATGATGGATTTTTCTTCTCAGAGTGATGAAAATTTACGAAGTTTGCGTATTGGGTTCCTAATAGATAAGGAACCAGCTGAACCTGAAATTTTTTTAGTTTGTATTGTGACTATCTCATCTATGCGATCAACGCAATGTGCGGTCTAGGAACAAACAATTTTATTATCACACCCGCTCACAAGCATACAAAACATAGCCAACTGACAGTTCGAAAAGAGAAGTTAATGCAAGAAAACCGGAAAAAAACTGACTTTGTAGAAAAAAATAGATGGCCCTACAGCTCCTTGAGTTTGTAAAACAATTTATGATGTATTTTTTTTTGTTGAAATTAACCCAATTTGAGAAAACTGGATCGATAGGCAAAATTTTTATTTCGCTGGTAAACCTGATAATTAATTTCCATTATCCAAATGAAAAGTCGATCACGTTTTTTGATCTTTACCTGTTGCTGTTCGATAATGGAGTTTGCCTTCCTTTTAACAATGGAAATACACTGAAGTCAAAAAAAAATCACAAAAAATCCAAAATGAAAAAAAAATCAGCAAGACCTATATCAGAGTACTCATTACGTTCATTACTCTTATCTAGAGTACTGTTGGAACAGCATTCAACAAACAGCATGGAAACAAAAGAGTGACAGCCGAAGTCGCGCTCATGTTTTGCGAGTTTTGCCAAGAAGCATTTTGTGAGATAAGGATGTTCTATGTCATCGACAATATCGCCAAAAAACTTTTGGGTTTACTTTAAGTATCGCTGATCAATCTTTCGGGCAAAAAAGAAAAAACTTTGAACGCGTTTTTCCTTCGAGTTAGGTTGAATTAAGATAAAAGTGAAAAAAAAGTAAGTTGCTTAGAATTATATCGAAATAAATAGGGCGTTTTTTTTTGCAAAAACTGTTACTAAACATTGACCGTAAGCCAGTGTAATTTTCGGCGGCGCTTAGTTGATCAAAACCTACGAATATCGGATAAAATTGGCGAAAAACGGAAGTAATATGAAAGCATAAAAGATTTTATGGTTTAGTCCTCAAAAACATTTTTATGATAGCCACAAAAATGTCGCTTTTGCTCCATCAAAAGCAGTTTGAAAACTTGTCTGAAAAATTTTAGGCATATGTTTCTAGATTTTTTTTCTTTGTTTCTAGATTAACTTTGGTGCCTATGTAAATTTTGGAGTTTCTCAGATTTTGAAGTTTTTTAAATTTAAATCAGCAATTGAACATTAACACAGTTCTCTGCCGCTATAACGAAAGACTCTCAAGACTTCAGGTTACCATGAAAGAGTGATATACTCTTCAAGACTCCAATTTATCATGAAAGAGTGATATAGTTTTAATAAACTAATTTTAAGAAGAATTATAGATTAACAGAAGTGGGCATAAATCTCATTGTTTTTTCTTTTGAACCAAAACCAAAACTATAATTAAGGCTTCAAGTTTAACAAAAATTTGAATATTAAACGATAGAAATGCTGCCATAATAAAGATTGAGGATATCACTGGTATACTAATTTCTGTCTAACTAATATAAAACATAGCCATACGTCATATAGGAAAGAATCAATGAACGCAAATAAACAGAAAAAAACACTGATTTTTTTTGCAAAAACTTGGAAAGAAAAAGTATTTGCCTTTATAGCCTTCTGAACTTCAAAAACAATTCCTGATCAAAATTTTTTTGATAAAAATTACCCAATTTGAGAAAACTAAAACCTACAGATAAGCATCACACCCTCCCTACCTTGGGCAGTTTTTCTCGGTTTTCGGTAGCAATAGACGCACACCCCTGGCAAATTTGACTGAATGAGCATGGCAGCTTAGGTAGCTTGTAGATGAAAATTACGCCCTTCGGGCGCAATTATAATGCTCAGAAAAAAGTGGGCTTAACAATCAGATGCTCCTCTACTGGTCTAAAAACTGTTAATAAAGAGATGGCTGTAAAGCTCTTTAAATTTCTGGAAGAATTGATGGTTGACACTTTTGATAAAAAATTACTCAATCTGAGAAAACTAGAATAATAGGTAGAGCTTTTAGTCCTCTGGGAAACCTGGAAGTAAATTTCACTTTCGAAACTAGAATTTGTTCACGCCTTTAAGCGTCATTTGCCCGTTTGTAATTGGAGAACGCAAGTTTACCTAAAAGCTTTCATAAATGCATTAATATGTTTCAATGCACTTTTGTAGTAATTAGAGCATTTTAACACTTTTCTTGATGATTAAAATCATCTAGACCTATATAAGGTTCTGAACCACGTTCAAGGACTCCTAAACACGAATTCATACCATCGCTTTTGAACATTCGCTTTCCAAGTTAAATTCTAAGATCTGATACAAACTACATTTTTCGGGAAAATCAGACTGAATTAACATGATAGCTTAAGTGACTTTTGCATGACAACTGCACCCTTCGGGCGCAACCATAATAATCAGACAAAAGTTGACAAGATAGCCCAACAACTCAAATAGACGGCCTCTAATCTCTTTAATCTTTTTGAACCAGAGAAATTGATAGCTGACACTTTTATGATGAAATTTACCCAAATTGAGCAAACTAGAATATTAGTTAAAAGTTAATAGATCAAAAGTTTTTTTTTATTTTGCTGAAAATCTGAAAATCAAGTTTCCCCTTTCGAAACTAGGAGTCGATCATGTTTTTCGTGAATTTAAACTTTTATTTGTCGATAGTGGAGTTTGCCTTCTGTTCAACAAAGGAAATGAACTGAAAAAAAAAATTACAAATCAACCCGCGAGAAAAAAGAGCCTGGACGGTTTTTATGGTTTTCCTGAAAAAAAAGAGTTATTAAATCGTCACGACCTATATATGAGTCTGAACTACGTTTATTGACATTTAAAAACATAGTCAACTGAAAGTTAAAAACAAGTAAACAACGCGAAGAAACAGGAAAAGATTACTGAAAAAAACTGACTTTTTTTCTGAAAAATTTTTCGAAATCTGAAGACGATAAATTTGACTCTATAGCTCTTTGAATTTCAAAATAATTTTTTGATTGGTGCTATTTTGATTAGAAGAAAAAACAAATTTGAGACACAGAAGTGAAGCTCGGTTTCGCAAAGATTACCGAGAACACGGCAAAAAAGCAGTTCTATAAAGTGAAATAAGAAAAAGTAGAAATATACTTCGAATTAGTAAAATTTCGGCTACGTGTCCGATTCGATCCTGTAACCTACAATTTATGTGTTTCACGCACTAACCACTCAGCCAATGACGCTAAAAAATTCACTAACACTTGCCACAAATTAAGCAGAGAACAGATGCTACAAAATTTCCAATGCTTCAGATTGTGATTATAGCTTAAGTGCCACCAAATGAGCACTTGCATTAGCAACTTAGGTTGGAAAAATTTGGATCAATTGGAAAAGTTTTTGCTCCGCTGGGAAATAAAAAAATATAAATTCCCTTTTCAAACTTAAAGGTCGTTCCTGTTGTTTTTTTGCGCCATTTCAACGTTCCTATTTGAAGTGACATTTGCGTTAATTTCATCAGATTTGTTTTAATTGAGCTCTAAAAGTGCATATAACACAAGTGCATTCATAAATGCAATAAATTGTACGAATGGACATCCAAACTTATTAGAACTTTTTAAGGCTTTTTTCTGAAAAAAAATTATCAAGACCTATATAGGAGTCTTGATTACGTTCATTTTTCTTAATAACAAAAATAATAAAACAATTTGATTTAAAATTGTTTCTATTTTTTCACTATGAAAAATGAAACGAATTCCACTGGAAAATTTGGAAATCAGATTCTGCTTTCGACACTAGAAAACGATTATGTTTTCGTGAGTTTCAGACTTTGGTAATTGGAGAGCGCAACTTACCACAATTTCAGCAGACGAAATCGAATTGAAATAGAACAGTCCATATTTACCTTAAAGCATTCATAAATGCAATAATGTATGAATGCACTTCTGTAGTTATTAGAGCCTTTTAAGACTTTTCTTGAAGAAAAAAATCATCACGACATATATAACATTCTGAACTATGTTCGCTTTATAAACACAAAATTACAACACCAATTTCACTCTCCAAGTTAAACTCTGTGATCTGATTCTTGATAAAAGCTACAATTTCGGTGTGCTGATATATTCACCGCAATTTAAAACGACTACCCACAGAGCTTCAATAAGATTACAATTGAGAAAAAAGAAACAATACTTGCTGTGGAAGGTTCAGTTACATTTACTCAGTTATCTTGATCGGTCTTTTAAAAAAATTCGCTTCAGATTTAGGTAAAATTTCGTCAACTTTGTCGAAAAAATTGGAAATTTAGTCAGCCGAATTGTAGTTAAATAAATAATTTTTTGGACGGCTTTTGGGTTGCCCAATTGCTGGGAGAGGGAAAAGGCCGGGGTCTTCTCGCAATTTCAAACTTAACATGAGAATGATTGTGACACTAAAATCAAAATTACCTCCTCCGAAGCGATGCAATTTCGGGCGTTACTCAGTGCGTTTTTGGTGCTTGAAGACTTTGTCAGCAGTTTCATTACCTAAACATCATTTGAAAATTTGAAGGCTTGTCTGAATACCTGATATTTCTAAAAATAAAACCAATAAACAATTGGAAAAAGGCTCTTTTGCACTTCTCCGCCCCCTTATATGAGTTTCAGCATTGAAAAACTTCTAACGTTGTCATAATGCAATAAAACTTGAGTATATATTCAATAAATCATTTGTTCTCGGATTTAGTGCAAAAAATAACGCTTTTAGCCGTAAGGGGAGATGGAAGTACACAGTAAATAGAAACTTTGAAAAGGGTGGGTAAAAGGGGCAAGAGCCTGGGAAAAAATTACAAATTACAGGAAACTCAACTTAGCCATAACATAACGAAAAATGAAAAACCTTATGCAACTACCAGCCATTAATACTTACTAGCGTGTAACACACCTCCGGTGCTTCGAATTTTTGACAACTCATAAAAAACAGCACATTTTGGAAACAAGATCTGCATCATTTAAGTGTACTCTGACAGTACCCAATTACAGGGTTGATAATTTCAAATTTAATAGTTTTTCTCAATTCCAACTTTGAAAATTCATAAAAGCGCCATATCTCAAAAAATTAAAGGGCATCTGGAGAAATTTCAGAGCCAGATTTGCAACCACTGAGCGTAATCTGAGAGCACCTTACTAAACTGAGAGCAGCTTACTATAGGGCTGGTAATTTTAAATTTCGTGAGTTTTTCAAACCGAAGTTTCCCGAAAAAACTTGAAAAAACCAAAAAAAAACGTCATATCTCGGAAACTAAAATGATTTGAGCACTCATATTTAGAGAATCGCGACGCCTCGATACGCTGACGATAAGTTTTTCTCTTCATCAAGTCAGGAGTTTCAAATTTTGTGAATTTTTTTGAAAACTTTTGAAAAAAAAAATTTTGGAAACTAGAATCATTTGAGCAGTCGCATTTGGACGCAAGATTTGCAGCTCCTGGGAGTATCCTCGCAGTACCCAACGACTCGATTGAGAACTTCATATTTTCCACTTATCTTTTCCAATATTTTTCCAATAAAAAATACAGAAGTAAAATCTCGAAAACTAAAAATATTTGAGAAGTCATATTTGGAGGAGTATTCTGGCGCACCCAGTTACAGGGTAGGGATCTCAAAATATACAAAGATTTGAGCACTTCTATTTAGAGGCAAGATTCGCAATCCTTGAGAGTACTCTCACAGCACACAAGTACAGGGTTGGGAATTTCAAATTTCGAAAAAAAAATAATTTAAGCTGTCTGAAAATTTTTGAAAAAAAAAAATCACAAAAAACGTCATATTTGGGCAAGATTAGCAACCCCTAGGAGTACCTTGACAGCATTCAACTACAGGTTGGGAATTTCAAATTTTGAAAAAGAAGTAAACAGGGTTTTCTGAAAATTTTTGAAAAAAGAAACACAAAAAACAGCATATCTAAAAAACAACAAAAATTTGAGCAGTTATATTTAGAGGCATGATTCGCAATTCTTGAGAGTACTCTGATAGCACCCAACTAGAGGGTTAAAAAATTCAATTTTTTGAAAAAAAAGTTTAAATGGAGTTTTCTGAAAAATTTTGATAAAAATCAGAAAAACGTCATGTCTGGAAAACTACAAGGAGTTGAGCAGTCATAATTGGAGGCAAGATTCACAATCCTTGTGAGTACTAGACATGACCAACTACATTAAAATTGTAAATTATTCTGTAAATTGAGTTTTCTGAAAACATTTGAAAAAAATCACAAAAACGTCGTACCTCGTACACTAAAAGGATTTGGGCATTCATAAAAAGAGACAAAAGTCGCAACCCTGGCCGAACTTTGACAGCACCCCACAATTGTTTTGCTAATTTTTAACTCGGTGGAACAAACACTAGATTCAAACTGCAAAAAAAAATCTTAAGCATAGCAATATACGATATAGCTTAACCACGCATAGATACGTTATGCCTTTAACTGTCTTTAAAAAAATGCTTAATCATGGCAAGATACATGTCACACGCATATATAAAAAAATTAGATTAGATATAACCTTTAATAATGTTTTTGTCTAGAGAAATTCTTGCAAGGGACTTGTCTTGTTTTGATAATTTTGAAGCTGGGCATGAAACACTAAAAACCTGAAGCGCCAGGGCTTTTTAGGGAATTCAATGCACCATCGTTCCTTTGTACTATTTCCATTTTTGGTGACGGATCCTAAAAACGTTCTAAAGGCGCCTTTGGCGCCAATATACTTTATATGAGGGGGGAGCGCGCGCCAAAAAAGCGCAATTTTGTGGTCAAAATGTTTTAAAAAGTACCTAAGAATGCCTTTTCTGGCCTGCTTTTTTTTTCCTGCGGCGCAGAAAATTTGGCTAAGACCGGGTCTTTTTAAAACTTTGGGAGAGCTAGGAAAATCAATTTGGTCGACCTAAAATCCACCCCCTTCTCGAGAAAATCCTGGATCCGCCCCTTTCAGTGTTGACAAGAAATTTTATCCCTTACTTTTGTATGATGTGGTGGGCTAAGATTTGCTGGGGGTCTGTAATTGACAGATGAAAACGCAAACATGAATAATTACTCCCCCACACCATTATTCTCCTTTGATTGAAAAAGTAAAAAAAAAACAGCCAATCGAAGATTGGACAAGAGTAATGAACGCGAGGAAACTGACTGTTTTTTTTCCAAAAACCTTCAGTTTTTGAATTTCGAAGAAAAAAATAGATGGCCTTAAATGTCTTTGCATTCCTAGAACAATTTATCATGGACAATTTTTTGTTCAAATAAACACAGTTTGAGAAAACTAGATCAATAGGCAAGAAGTAAACAAGGTTTTCTGAAAAACTTTGAAAAAAGAAACACAAAAAACACCATATCTCAAAAACAACAAGAATTTGAGCAGTTATATTTAAAGGCGCGATTCGCAATTCTTGAGAGTACAGGGTTGAGTTTCAAATTTTGTAATTTTTTTTTAGTTTGAGTTTTTTGAAAACTTTCTGAAATATCACAATAAATTGCCATAGACTAAAAAGGATTTGGGCCTTCATAATTGACAACCCTTACAGCATCCTACAATTGGGTTCCTTAATTTAAACTCTGTGAAATAAACATAAATTCAAAATGAAAAATCAAAAGAAAATTAGCCATTACAATATACGATATAGCTTAACCGTGCAAAAATTCTTTCGTCAAACATTCAAAAATAGTACAATGAAAAAGCTTAAGCATAGCGAGATAGTGAAGCCCGCATTGCAAAACAAAATAGATGAGATATGGTTAATATAAATAATATTGATTTTACACCTTGCACTTCAATTTGATGCTGGCTGAAGTTTGTAGAAATCTAATAAAAGCTCTAGAAAACATTTAACACAGAGGCGAAGCTGCGCTTCGAGCTGTTTGCGATACAATACAAAAGAGCCAAGCTCGAAAAAAACGGAAAAAAATGGGAAATGCCGAAATCTATCACAACGAAAAAAAGTATCAAAAACTCACACCAAAACAATAAAAGGTAAAAACATAATCTGAAGAAAACTAATCAAGCTGTAAACACGACAAAAATACCTGAGAGGAAACCCTTTCGGACGAGAAAAAAATAGCTTTTAAAAAACTTGATTTGTTTTGCTCGTCAAATGAAAAAAAATGAGACCAATAAGCCGATAAAAAATAGACCGATACTTATCAACCCGAGAAAAAAATGTAAAAACAAAAATGAAATAAAAAAAAAGACTTTTCTGACTACAAACTAATAAAATATATTTTAAAACTACATCCCTTTCAATACACACACAAGCACACAATTTTTTTTGCTTATTAAACGAAAAAATATGTGGCCAATCAGCCGATATAAAACAGTCCAAAACTTAAAGACCAAAATCGAGAAAAAAGGAAACAAATGGAAAAAATGAAATTGAAAAGAAAGAAAAAAGCTTAAAAACTAAATAAAATTTTAGACTCTCATCCCATTCATCCGACACCAACGTGCCAAACTGTTTTCGCTTATTAAAGAACTCCATATGAGGCCAATAAACCGAAAAATATACGCAGAAATTTATTTAACTGAGAAAAAAGAAAATGAAAAAATTTTGAAAAAAGAAGTGAAAAAAACAAGCTGGCAAAATTACAACCAACTTAAAAAACATTTTGAATAAAATGGATATTCAAAATGTTAACATGCTCAAAAATTGTCTGTTGCAGTTTTCAGCAGAGAGACGACTGCTGCAGTTCAGAGTGCAACGTGCCGAGACCATCCTGTACAAAATTGTTTACGGTGAAAAGTAAAGTATCCGATTGCAATACCCTTGCTGGTTGCAAGGGTAATCAAATTAACCCGAAAGGTTTAAAAAGTATAAGAGAAATCTTTTCAAGATTTTTTAGGATTGCCATCATTAAAAAATTTGCCATCTGATTTCATCCCGATATTTGGGGAGCGTCAGACATGCTCTCGCCGAGTCTAAGGAACGTTGCGGTCTCTATCGGCCGGAGCCGCAGGTCTTTTCAGGTCAGAAAAATGGTTTTTGTGGCCAGTAAAAAAGATGTAGCGCAGTGTGGGGTGCTGGGTATTGGGGGCACTTAGGGGGAACTTTCGGACCTATGCTATTTATTTCATATGGTAGTTACTGTAGCCTGATCTTATATAAGAGAGGGTGTGCCTAGTTGAGCGGGGTAGAGTCAGTTCTTTTATAGACATTAGGCAGTTTTTCGGTGGGGAAAAACTTTCGATCAGGCGGTCTTTTAAAGGGAACACTTTTGGTGGCAACCTGGCTTTTAGAATTCTGTTTCTTTGGTTTCTGGTAAAAACTCTAAAATCTGTAGATGCTCTAAAAGCTGGTCAAAATTGTTTATAAAATTGAATTCGTTTGCCTGACTTAAAATCTGTCTGTTGGAGCTCTTTCATGTAATTGTCCATAACGTTTTGGCGTAGTTTTCAGAAGGAGGTTTGGCAAGTAGGGATAAAAAGCAACACAAATAACATGACGTACGTGAGTTTTGAGAGTTAATTGAGATGCAAGCATATTATGATGACTTCTCACAATAAGTAATTTGCACTCTTGAGTGTAGGTGGTCAATGGGGCTCATTTTAGTGCAACCGGTCACTATCCAAAGTGCTGCATTTTTCACTATTCCAGTTTACTAATGGAGGTATCACTGAAAGCATGAGCCTACGCTGAATAGGCCTAATCAATAATCAAATCGGTCAAACAAAAGTTTTAGAGGTAATACTAAACTTTTTCGACTGGTCCCAATTTGTGACCAAGAGTGCCTTCGAGAACGGTATCCCGCGCATGGTTTACTGGCAGATAGTCTGCAGTGTTCGGAGAAAAGAAGTACTGGGTCGAAATACACAGCGAAAATTTTAGAGTGCTTCTGCACTGGTAAAAGCCAACACGCATTACTACTTTGGGAGAAGGTTGAATTCTTTTTCTGACAAGTAAACAAGCTGACTATACCCTTGGCGGAAGAAAAATCAAGAGACCTGCTTGCAGAAAGTCCTGTAGTTTTTTGAGATAATCACACAATGTAGTGGCGGCAAGTTTTAAGTCGTGCGATTGGATCAAAGGCTGGAAGTCATCGGCGGAAGATGTAAGTGTTATTTCTGGGGGTTTCGGTTACATAGAGCATGCAGAAAAAAGGCGAATTAATTCAAGACAGCAAGTGTGTGTGTGTCATATATTTGCACATCAAAATTCAGCTTTGAAAACGATCTTTTAGTATAGAATAAATTTTTGTTTTCGATTTTATTTCATCTTCCTTGTTTTCACATTTTTTGTTTCATAAAATCGCGAGCGTTTTTGAAGTTTCCAAAACCGATGAACTAATTTCCAATCAGCAACATGGAAATTTGTAAAAGCTTATACTTGAGCTTCAAGGCGGACGTTCAATCGAATTTGGCACGATCGCGGCTTGTCTTAATCAACTTACCTTTTTTCACGTGAAATGGTTAAACTTGATAAAATTCTACTTAGGAAAGTTGCTGGATATCTCATAATTTTTTTTATCCAAGATCGTTACATTTCAAATTTTGTGAATAGCCGCTTGTCCAGAGGAGCTTCCAGCAATCATAACTTTTCATTGAACCCAACATCTCGGATTTGAGAGGATAGTATTCGAGAAAAGTCAAAAAAGTTTTTTTTTAAATTTGTCAAAAATCGAAAATTTCATTTTTCCGAGAGCCATAACTTAGTTTTGTAAAAAAAAAATTTGGACTTAAATTGTTCGGTAGGGGAGCGCACCACAACCCGTTCTACCTATTAAAACATAATATCAGATATGGGACGGTTGTTTTTGAGAAAAATCAAAAAGTTTGAAAAAAAACGGTCAAAAAGTCACTAACACGACTTCCGAGGGTCATAAGTTTTTGCGTTATAATATTTGAGCTTATCACTAAAAAAAGAGCTTGCCCTAATTCGAGTTTGTTGAGGCAATAAAATTTTCGAGAAAAGTCAAAGTTTTGAAAAATAAAGGTAGAAAAATCGCAAACTTGAGATTTCGAGGGTCATAACTTTTTGTGTAAAAAAGTTTTGGCCTAACAGTTTGTGCAGGGGAGCTTACCACAACTTAAAGGCAAACACCATCATACTACGGATCACCATAAAAGATCAGCTTGAGTCAATCTAACTTAATTTAGGTCAACTCTTATCAAACCATCTTTCGGGAATCTAAAGACGATCCATAAAGGACCACCTTGAGTCATAATAACTTAGATTAGATCAACTCTTATCAAACCATCTTTCGGAAATCTAAAGATGATCCAGAAATGACCACCTTGATTCAATCTCACTTAAATTAGCTGAACTCTTATCAAACCATTTTTCAGGAATCTAAAGATGATCCATAAAGGACCATCTTATAAATGATCATCTTTAGGGCGATCATAAGATATATCACTCGACTCATCCCATGATTATTTGTGGTCCCTGATTTTTCTAATAAAAAAGCGGAAAAGTAAAATTTTCAACGGAAAAGTAAGATTTCCCTTGTTTGCGATAAACCTGTGATTAACAAATGTACTTTGCCCTCCAAGTGGCGAAAAGTCTGAAAATCAAGCATCAAAAGTTTAAAGTTGTACCAGCAATGTAGAATAAAGCCTGGTCAAACTAGCACTTGTTTTACCAAAAAAACCCATGGTCTGAATAACCCAATACTGCAAATGCTCATTGGCCTTATAAGGTGCGAGAAAACTTTTAGTTCCATCTGATTGGTTATCCAGTAAGTCTTTTCGTTTGCCGGGTTTTCTTATGATCGATAGAGCGGTTATGGGGTTATGGTTTTTGATCTTAAGTTTAGGTTTCAATGATCTTACATTCATGCTGATTAGAGGCTTGAACAGGAAAAACTGATGGCCAATCGCGCATTCTATCGCATTTAAGTCGAAGTTCACTCGTTTTGACTGATTGTCTATTGTTGCGAAGTTGGCAAGAACTGAGAGCAACTCCCGCTCGACATTGGGCACGCAAACAACATGCTCCTTCTTCACGACACCATTTTTCAGCGTCATAGCTCTAGAACACAAAGTATCTCCGGAACTTAACAAAAAATATATTTTTACTCCTCAATTCTAACCCTCTACAGAATTTACAATTATCTAAGAGTATCAATTTGTATAAAATTAGCGCCAAATAACATATTAAAAAGGCTTAGGTTATTTAATAGTGATTCATTTCTTTTTAAAATATATAACTAACACAGAGGCGAAGCTGTGCTTCGCAAACACTAGCGAAAACACGACAGAAAGCAGCTCTATAAAGTGCAAAATGAAAAAGTATAAATAAGCCTCGATTTATTAAACCTTCCCCTAAGTCTCGGATTCGAACCTACGCCCCTACTGCGACATAGAGATTGAGGTTCTCACGCAATAACTACTCATCCACGAACGCTTAATTTATCACAAATACATAGCAGAGAACAGATACTATGCAATTTCCACTGCTAAGGTGAAACTTCTATATAAGTGAACACTTTTATTTGCGAGTTAAGTTAGAAAAAAGAAGGTTCGTTTCAGTACACTAACGCTCGGAAGCTTGGCAGTGTGAAGATGGACAAAACAATATTTTTCATACACAAAATTGGATTATAATGCTAGAAAAAATATGCAAGTTCAATTAAGTACGATTTTGCGGTTCGAAACTTTAAAGTGCAGACAACCATTTGGTCAATTTTTGACACCCGAAAAGATATTCAAATTACCAAAACCGTTCCTGAACCGACCAAAACTGCATTTGAGGTGATAAAACTGCCATTTAACATTTTTTCGTGTAAAATTTTGAAATGACCAAGTACGATTTCTTTAATAACTTTGATAGCAGCCAAAGCTTGTTGTTTGTGTTAAGTATAAGAAGAATGATCGTGAGCAAACCTATTTGGTCGCTCAACAATTTTCATTCATTTGGACAAAACCAAAACATCGCAAAACTTCTTTCCTTTCTGAGACTTTTCAGATTTACAAACAAATAGGGTACATTTATCTCAAGTCGGTTAAGTTAAAAATTTTCTCAAGCTTGTTTATCTATAAGACGTGTAAAGGTACACCCTGCTTTATAAGGTAGGGTAAACGGTGTTTTGACATAAATAAGGTAAACATAGGTTTTTATCGTTAATGTAAGAAGCTGTTTTTTAAAGGACAGAATAACTTCTTGCATAAATTTTTAAGCTGCAATTTCACAAAACATAGCAAAAACGTTAGAGAAGCGTTAAAGAATCAAATAATCAGATAATCCATTAGAAAAAACTAGGTCAATCGATAACATTTTATTCCGCTGAGAATTGTGAAATCAGGATATTTTAGAAACGAAAAATCACTCAAGCTTTTTTCCCGCGAATTTTGGTCCTTTGGTAATGCAAATGTATTTGAATTGAATCTAGAAAAAGAATCAAAAATCAAAAGCCGCAAAAAATTATGATTGAGCGTAAACTATTTCTGAAATATTTAATTAAGAAAAAATAACAGTAAGACTAAAATGTGCAATAAATCACTGAGCTCATTCAAATTCTCCAAATAATAAAAAATCATCTAATAATTTTTGTTTTTTCTTGCTGATTTCAAGGATAGCTAGCCTTATAAAAAAATTAAAAAGATAAATTTATCTGAATTTGTTAAATTTAAGATAATTTTTAAATTGTGTACTTAACATTTAAAGGTTTTTGGAGCTTAAAATTTACAGTAACTACTGCTTTTACGGCACAGTTATGGTAGGTTCAAGTTAGCACAAAACTACGTTTATAATTAAATTGCTTTGAGATGAATATATGGTAAATTTACCAGGAAATTTTATTGTGTTATTTGCTTTATTTCTTCAGATGGGACGTTTACTTTGCATGGATTACTTCGTCCAGGGCTATTTTGTCTGCCGGGCTTCTTTTGAGTGGAACAATCTCGCGTGGGATAGTAAGATATGTTATAAATTGTCTTGAAATCTCTAATTTAAGTAATACTAGCGTGTAACGCACCTGCGGTGCTTCGAACTTCTAACAACTCATAAAATGACATAAGAAAAGTCACCTTTCGGAAACTAAAAGGCTACAAGCATGATAGTTGGATGCCTAAAAAAAAGCAAGCATGAAAGATGAAACCCGCCATTTTTTAGAAAGTTTCAAAAACAAGTAAACAAAAACTTACCCTATTTCCGAAAACTTTAAGCGCAAAAAAAATAGTTCAGGGACCCATCCAAATTTTGTGACCCAACTATCATACTTGAACGCCTAGAAGCAATTGAGCGGTCGCATTTGGACGCAAGAGTTGCACCACTTGAGAGTTTGATCAGTACTCAACTACAGCGTTGAGAACTTTAATTTTTAGAACTTTAAAACTTCATTAGAATCATAAAAACTTCATATTTAGAAAAAAATTAACTATTTGAGCAGTCATATTTGAAGGCAAGATTATCCGCCACTGAGAGTACTCCGACAACAACCAGCTAAAGGGTATGGAATTTCAAATTCTGTAAAGAAAATTAAAATTATTTTTTCCAAAATTTTTTTGAAAAAAAATCACAAAAAAACAATATCTGGAAAATTACAAAAATTTGAGCAGTCACACGTGGAGGCAAAAATGGCAACCCTTGAGACTACTCAGACAGCATCCAATAACAGGGTTGCGAATTTCAAATTTTGTGAATTGATTTTTCATTTGAGTTTTTTGAGAACTTTGAAAAAAAAGACTAAAATCGTCGTCTCTTATACTAAAAGGATTTGTGCATTCATAATTGGAAGCGTAATTTGCAACACCTGGAAGAAGCCTGACAGCATCCCACTATTGGGTTGCTGATTTTAAAATTGGTAAAAAAAACACTGAATTTATACTGAAAAATCGAGAAAAAAAATTCTTAACCAATGCAAAATACGATATAGCTTCAAAGTCAAAAAATGCTTTCCTTAAACATGCAAAAACAGTTTGTTGAAAAACATTTAACCTGGCGAGATACAAAAAATTCCGATATTTTTCTGGCCATTTTGGCTGTTTTTTGGTTGATTGAGATACAGAGCAACAACTACGTTATACTATCTGAAGCATCGTAAAGGACTACGTTCAGGAATTGTATAATTTAAGCAACAAGGAATCATGGACAAACGTTTATCACGGTCGTAAGCTATGAATTGGTTTGAAAAAACGTAATTGGACCATATTTTTCTGACAATTAACTTTTTTTGCAAGATAGCACAGTGCAGGAAAAAAATTCTCAAAAAAATCAAAAAAAAGACAAAAAATTATTAAGAGAAAATAACGCTCAATAATTTCAAGCCCTTCAAAGTTCTATTAAACTGTATAATTTACAATCTAGCTGGACGCCATATAAAGGCAATTTTTTTTATCTGACTGCAGTTAGTTATATTCAATCAGATAAAAATCTCAGTCACTAGCTTTCAGCTTTGTTATACTACACTTCAGAAGAAATATCCTATGCAATTTGAACAATAACATATCATGATAGATCATACTAAACGCTGTATTACTGAACTATAAAGTTCCAAGCAGACATGTTCGCTTTCTCATAGGAAAAATTCGATTCGACATACCTGCAAAACCAGTATTTGAAAGTTAAACAGAGGGGAAGCTTCCCTTTGCAAACACTAAAAACACAAGAAAACGGCAAACATAGCCAACAGACAAAAGTAGGAAAAAAATCAACGAACGCGCGTAAGCAGAAAAAAATACTGACTTGTTGTTCAAAAAAATCACAATTTCTAATTCTTACGAAAAAAACTGATGGCATTTAAGCTCTTTGAATTGTTAGAACACTTTATGCTTGACACTTTTTTGATAAAACTTTGAGAAAATTGTATCAATAGATAAATCTTTTGTTCTGCTGGGAAATCTGATAATTAAATTCCATTTTCAAACCAAAATTCGATTACTTTTTTCGTAACCCTTACAATTCCGGTGTTCGATAGTGGAGTTTGCCTTTCTTCAACAAAGGAAACGAAATAAACTTGAGAAGAAATCAAAAGTCAAACCTCAAAAGAGTAAACTTGAGCCTGACCAAATTTCGAGACCCACCAACACTAAAAATTTTCTTCACACAGTTGATTGATATGAAAATTGATATACGGACTAACTGGGCCAAGACAAGCCTATTTGCTCTGTATAATTCACCTTGTAAAACCACGCGTTACTGTTAGTGTTATTATTGCGATAAAGGAAATTAGGTGTGAAGTTGTATTTACTAATACTTATTTGGTTTCCAGCTGATAATATTTAAAAGCGCCAATTATAAAATGTAAGTTAAGGTAGAAAAACCGGCATTTATAACAAAAAAAAACTAACGGAGTTTCTATTTTCAGTGCCGATCGGTAAGCCACAATGAATTCGTTGTTTTTGTCGACTAGAGTATTCACAGTGACCAGAGCACAGCAGTTGCTCACATGGCGAGTTGGAAGGAAATATTTCAAAGGAGAGTCCAAGTTCAACCTGTCTGTGTAGCCGCAGCTCAGACCTCCAATCGAAGGCGTTTGTCTGACTTCTGAGTTCCACAGTTCACAGAAAACTCTAGCTGTTTCTCTCATTCGCCTTCTCACCTTCTCCGGGATTCGAGTCTGACGAGAAAATTCATCAAATGTTTTCACTCTATTTGATGTATCCGGATCGTAATACTCAACAAGGTTGTTGAAAAGTTCAAATAGATCCGGAATATGTGCAAGTTTTGTCATCCACTCTTTATTTTTGAAGATACAGTCAAGTAATTTGTACTTTGCAACGTTTATGTTTAACTCACTTCGCACACCGGCCAAGCTCACCTTAGGAATTAATCGCCAATAGCTTCTGTTTTCAAGTATGTTGACGAGTTTCTCAGAAGAGTTGTCCTCATTATCTTCCAGAAACTGCTTTAGGCTGTTTGACTCGTTTCTGCAATCGTTTTGAAACATCCCATAGTAATTTGAGATAACTTCTGGCAACTTTCGCTGTGCATCGTTAATAATTTCTATGAAAGCAATTTCAAATAATTCTCGCTGTTCCTCGTTATCGAACGATCCTTGTACTGGTTTTGTCGAGGCATCGATTATAACAGTCAGCAGGAACTTTATGACGTCTTCTTCACTTCTATTAACGGAATTCCTCGAAATTTCTGCTATATTCTTTCGAGCACAGTGCAACATTTCTTCATGTTGCTTGCAGACATACAAAACCGCGTGAACAAAAAATTGCATCACACTTCCATTAAATGCGTTAAGGAAATCTCTGTCAAAAGAGTTCAAGTTAGGCTCTGCAGAATATCCAGTTATTGACGTCTCATTTGTCACGCTTACATTACCACCACGCTTCGCTGCCATTTTATTGCCGGCTGCATATTCATGGTCTTCGCCCCCTATACGTTTTTTACATTCTGGACACAGACCTCGTTGCATTGGCATTCCGCACGCCGAAATTATGTAGAAATGACCATTTGGGCATTTGTTCCAAGTCGTCAATTCATCTTGCAGAGCATTCTCGACTATTTTGGCACGCCTCGCTCCGCTATCAGGGAACGTCGGCAGATAGAGTCCGTTCACTCTTCCCCTTGCATCAAAGATGTCTTTGAAGGGTTTCATGAACCCACAGTTTTCGTTCACCTCCAGAAATGTTTGAAAGAAGAAAAGAAGGTGCCTCAAATTGCCCATGTTTGGAGCAAGTTTATCGTTTTTATTGGTTACGCTAATACTTAAACGCATTGTTTTACTATTTTCACCTATTAGCTGCTCGAACTTTGTCGCGTTTTTTGCTGCAAACTGTTTTGACCTCATTTCCGCCAGCAACTGGTAGACGACCAAGTTTCTTAACTGTAGATCTTTAACTGCTCTCAAAGTATCAATAGCTGTGTCAACATTGGTGACCAACTCAATATATGCTTTGTTAAACGGCATTTGATAGCTAGATCCCAGCACTAGGAAAACGTCAGAGAAGCCTTCATTCTTAGAAATCAGCAGAATTCGGGGAATTAATGGTTCAAGTTGTGGGACTGACTTCACCTTTTGATACATGTCCAAACCAAAGTTACGACAAATGATCTGAATAAAATACTTTCGAGCATATTCTGCGCTTTCTCCTCCCTTTTCTAATATTTCCTTAGCAATACGGGGAATCGTTTCGTGAAGCACGTGACCATCTTCGACCTGTGCATAAGGAACAACAGATTTGCTTACAAATTCCAAAAGTTCAATTTTCACTTTAGCGACTAATCGAATCTGACTAACAGTGCTTTTAGCTTGACTAACATCATCTAAATCGAAAAAACTTTCGTGTTGATAAACAAATTCGAAAACTGACAAAAGCAGCTTGTATGTTCGTGCTAGATCAATTATATTTGACTTTTTATCGTCGTTTACGATATTCACAATGAGTTTGTCCAGTGATTTTCCCCAATGTTCGCTGGTCGCTATAAAAGTTAGTAGCCCCTGTTTGATCTGTTCCGTAATCCATGCCGCATCTTTTTTACTTTTTCGTCGTTTATAAATCAGGCAAACTTCAATGTAATTGCGGAGCGTAGCTTCATCGCAAACTTTTATCACATTTTCTTTGACGATTCTCAGGAATGCATTTGAAATATTGAGCCAAAACTGTTTCCAGATTGATTTCTGAGGCCCTTCTGGAGCCACAATCATGTTGCTGTAATGTACATCTTGCATGGTGCATTCATGAGAAAAAGCGGCTGATTCATTACTATTCACTAGTGACTTGCAAAAAGCACATCTCTTCTGGCCAGTCGCTTGCTCGATTGCAGCTGCCGATTGACTCAGACAAAGCAGCAATTGAGCTCGGAATTGATCAGTTCCGAAAACTTTGTCATCGGCGCTAGATGTATCGGCAAACTGATAGATTTTATCAGAAGCAGTGCAAGCAATTTGAACGGTCAAATCGTCATCTAAGTTTTGAGAAATTTGGGTTAAATATGTTGAAAACATGGACAGTTTCTTCAGTTTGAAAGCAGCATCGACTTCAAGTTCGATTCCAGAGCACAATTTAAGAACAGATACTCGCTGGTCGAGCGCCTCAATTTCTTGGCGGCGAAGGTTCGCAGGCTTTAGATTATCTGCTATCGATTCTGTCAACTCCAGAGCAACTTTAGCTACCACTGAATCAAACGTTTTGCCGTTGTTAGGATGAAGAATTCTGAGGCTTGATCCAAAAAACTTCAAAATTGGCGCTGCTTTATATAAATGCGGCGAGAACTTCTTGAAATGGGCATAAGCAACTGCTATAGTGGGCGTCTCGGAGTCGGCTAAATGGTTATCTATGATGAATTTCAGATACTTTTTTGCCATTTCAACATGTTCGTCCAGAACAAAACTCTTACTCATCATTGAAATGAATTCGTTCATGATCAAGTCGTGAATGAAAGCATCGACAGCGCTTCTATCTTCTGAAATCGAAATAATTGCTTTTTCTAATTCTTTTTCTTGCTTATGAAACTCACGCACGAAAAACTGCCAATCGTCTAATTCAAAATCGTTACAATTTTCCAGAGCATCGGTCCACTGGGAGCTCAATTTAACAATGATTTCGTTGCTGAATGGGAAAACGGACTCAAACTTGACTTCATTCAGGTTTCCAGTCCGCTCCCGACATATGTCTTTTATGGTAAACAACCGCATCCAGGCGTTTTTTTGCCACTTTCCTTCGAACAACAGCTTGATGTTATTGTTGAGATCAATCATTTTCATGAAATCAGCTATGTGAGGCTTTATCCTAGCCTGCAGTTCCTTGAATAGAGCGGTTTCAATGGTTCCCGATTCAATCAAGTCCTGTAAGTTTGCCGCTTTCTGGGTGACCCACTTTTGAATCTCCGCATTTTCATCAGATTTTTCAATAAACGCACTCACTTTCTGTAGAAACACTGTCTCCAAACGCGGATCATGCCGTTCGTCCAGCAAACGGTATATATTAGTCACCTTTTGAATTTTGTCACCCCCCGATTCTTGTCCTATTGCCTCGCAAACTACCTCACGCAGCAGTTTCTTTTGAAATTTACTACATTCGCCGTTTTCAAGCGCAAAAATGTCCTTCAGCGTCCTACTCTGCTTGATGGCAACTTCGGACAGAATTTGAAGCTCTTCTGCTCTTAGGAGCTCATCGATATGGAAACTCTCCCACTTTCCGACTGAGAAACTGCTGTAGTCTGACTCATACCAGTTCCTCGGAAGCTCGACAATGAACAAGTGGTACAGTTTCGGAATTTTGTAGTCCGCATGCAGATTCTGAAGTTTGTACTTTGCTGATGAAATCAGAGAAACAAATTTTTGACCTTTCGAGCAAGTGATGAAAAGTATTTTAGTCAACTGCTTGTGCTTAGCTGCCATACGATAGAAGTCTTTCACTCTTTCGGCAAACTCAATTTCGGTTTTGAATACGTTCAAATTGATTACAAAATGCCTTTCGGGGGACATCAGTGTTTTTTCTTTTTGCATTAGACTAGTATTGCAATGTTTCATATCTCTGGCTGAAGGTATTCTACAGAAGGTTGAAATTTCAATCAACTCAGACTGAGTTGGGCCATTAAATCCAGTGTAGCAATGTTCCCACAAGAATTCAGACAAACTATTTCGTCCTTGCGAACCATAAATTTCCTTCAAGTTGTGCAAGTTGAAAGAGGGGACGTCACAATTTGACCTAATTATTGCATCAATCGAACATGTCTGAACCAGTTTGAGGCTAGCTGCTTCCAAAAGCTGTTCATCAGTTGCTCTAACAGGGAGGCTGTTCTCAGCTTGTATCAACACACAAGCGGTGGTATCTATTTGATACCCTACAAAAGCATCCCTCACATGAAACAGAGAATCTTCCTTGTCAGTTCTAGGGACATTTGAAAACGCCTCCAAATTATCCGACAGTTTTTTTCGTAGCTTCATTAAGTTAGAGTTTAGAACGGATTCCATTCCTAGGAAATGTTTCTCCAGCCGATTCAAAAGAGGAATCGGGAAGTGTCTCGCGACTTTTTCTTCTTCAATCATGATGAGTCTGAAGTTCTCGGAGACACTGCACTTGACTCTGTTTGTCCCCAAGCCAAGATCGACGTACCTCTTTCCTCCGTAGTAGACGTAATACTGATTCAACGCATCGTATAGAGACTCATAGAGCGACCCCAAGTTCAGTAGTACTACAGTCTTTCCCGTTTCCATGCAGACTTTTATCCTATTAATGTTCTTGCATACCTGGATGTACTGTTGATCATGAGGAAACGATGACCCAAAAATCACCTCATATTCTTTCAATTTCAAAACCTTGGGCAGTAGCTGAAGCGCTGAAAAGTTTTCAGTCATTAACAATAAGTATCTGCTTTCATTGTCCAAACTTCGTTCTTCTTCCGTCAATTTTGACCTTTCCTCGGCTTCTTGGATGTTCTCATGCACTAGCTGCAAAGTGTCAGCAGCATCACTCACAGTCACATCGTCGAAAACTCGCTTTTCCTGCAGTTCATTGGCAAACACCGTCAAAGAATCCACTCCTTTTTCTCCGAAGTTTCTTCTAATCGCACGTCGGATAATCTGCCACTGGATTCCACGGTGTCTATTTGACACCAGAAACTTATAAAGCATTTTAAGTAAGCCATAGAAGTCTCGCAATCCAAAGTATTCGGCAAGCCCTTTTTCAATTTGAGAACTGTACACTTTTTGGTACGCATCGGCCAATGGCTGAATAAGTCCATCAATTATTTTCCCTTCATTTTCCACTCGGCATATACCTCTGGCACTCTTTACCAACTCCTCTGAATTAGGAATACCTCGACTGACTAAAATCCCCCGGTTCATTTTGGCTGGATCTAGAGCCCAATTCGATATTCCAACGAAGCCCACTTTTCCCCAGTCTTGTTTTTCCGATTTATTCTCCACGTAGCCCTCCTCTAGAAGAGGGTGGAGCGTCTTCAGGGGCATCTTAGCTGAGTCCTCTGCCAGGCCTATTTCGTCCAGCACCACCACACTCACAAACTGCTGCAAGTTTTTCCCTTCCTGATACAGCGCCGCCTGTTTGAACAGACTGATGATACCATCTGCCTGTGTATGAGGCGAACACTGAAATGAGAGCATCTGAACTTGCTTCAAAGATTGGAAAAACTCGTTTCGGGAACTTTCTCCTTGCATCGCATCAATCACAATGGTCTTCGCTAAAGATTTCGAGCTGCCTGGTTTGCCGACCAGGAACAGTGGGATTCTCAACTCAATACAAATGATAATCATGAACACATTTTCTGTTAGAGCTAGATTCTTTGCAATATTCGCTTTCCTGTCTAAAATGATATTTTGTATGAAAACTTGCATACACATTTCAAGTTCATTCAAAATAGTGTTTGGACCATTGGGCAGACTATAAGAGCCCGTGAAACAGGCTGCGATTACATCTCGAAACAGGCTGCGGCTTTCTAAAGAGGAATGATAGCATACTCCGAGCGTTAAAATCATTAGCCTTGCAACATCGTTGATCATTTCACTTTGTTTGTGACTCATTTCTTTCATTTTTGTCATTAGTAACGCTAGTTTTGAGTGGAAAAACTGTAGAACTGTCATCGCGCGTTCTATATCTCGCAAGCTCACAAACAGGCATTCTTCTCGGTTTTCGCGGAGAAAATTTTGCGATTGACTCAAAACATGACATATGAAGAGAACATCACCAGGTGTCAGGCTCATACTGGCAGCTCTTTTTGAAACAATCTGCTCAATGTACTTGTTTTCAACCTCGCTGCTAAGCTGTCCGAAATCCCAAATCAATGGGAGCAGACTTGGGGGCAGGGGGTTCACCCGGTACACCAGGTGGCGCATCGGGATGTCGGAGTCTAATTTTTCACTCGTTTCCGAGGCCTTGACATGGTACCCAAGCCCCTGAGATTCAAGTTTCTTGATCATTTTATCTTTGTGTTTTCTGTACGGGTTACACGCAACAATGACTTTGAGTCCCGAATTCGGATCTAGTTTTCGACCATTCACGCTAAAATCACAAATTACCTCCTTGATACCGTATATTGCCTCTGTTGTATTCGCCTCGTCAAAAAACAGAACGGTGAAAAACTCTTCTCCAAATTTTTTGCGGTTTTCTATAGCCAATTTTTCAACATCTTCTATGCTTTGAATAATATCTTGCATTGTAATGCCGCCGTGAACCTTCACGATTTTCTTATTTTCAACATTTTCTCCTCTAGCCAATAAGTTACACAGGTACTCGACTAGTTTCGTTTTCCCGCAGCCCGTTTCACCCATTATGACCACTGGTATGTTGCATCTGAATCGCATGTACACCGCCAATAGCTTCATCACATTGTCCTGTGTAAGCTCATAAGTATCGTCAAACTGGATTCGACTGGGTTCTACCCCCAGTACACGACACAGTTTCAATTGCTTCACTTTCAGCTCAAGCTCATCAAAGTTCTCATCCAAAACATTTTTCTCGTCTATTGCTTGACGTTTTATCTTGTCTTGCAGCTCAGTGCTCATCACATTTTGGGCCAGCAAGTTTCCTTTGCAGTCTAGAAGGTTGGAATTAGTTATTCGCACCCCTAGAAAAGTGAAAGTCATTTGGTCGGAATTGATGAAGACGTAGGGATGTGGACTGCTCTCCCATCGTCTTCGAATCTGGTGCACTTCGTAGTTACTCGTACTTTCATTTAGTCCGAAAAGTGGTGAATTGTCAGCGATGCTCAAACTGGGCAGAGCAAAGTCCTTTGCCATTGCAATCAAACAGTGCTTGATATAGAAGTTCTTGAATCCTTGAAACTCTCCAGATCCCACGAAGTGATTACGCTCGCATGCAATCAGCTGTAAGTTCAGAAATGTTGCAAAGAAAGTCAATTGAGCCCAAGTCGGATTTTCTAGCCCACTGTTTTGTTTCAAAATTTCAATTACCAACCGATCTGCTTCCTTTTCGTCCTTGTACGTGTAGGAAGACAGATCTCTGCCCTTATTAGACGCATCCAGGTAATGATAAGATCTCTGGAATTCTGGGCTTTTGAGGAGATTTGCATCTGGTCCAATGAAGCGTCGTGAATCAGTTTTTACCTCAGTCCTCTGCAAGCATTGGTTTGGAGAGAGACATACTGTACAAGGGAAAAGGTTGCAGAGCTGCTTCCATGGGGATGAAACCTAAACGGCGGAGACGGCATACATCCGAAATCATATTTCATACCCAATTGGTAACCAAATTAGATGCTTTTAAAGTAGATTCCGCTTCCAAAATTTTGTTCAAAAATAACAACAATTTGGTAGGCACATTAGTTTTTGCATCAGTTTTAAATAGTGAATTCCACACACTGTGACATTCGACCAGAATTGACAAAAAAGGCCATTTCCAATTATTAGCCGCTGGCCTTGAGAGTTGACAGTTTTGGCAGATTAGCGACGTTATTTGAACGATTAGACAAACTGTGAAGGTCAGAATATTCTGGTATTTTAAATTTTAAAAATTTCGAATGATGACGTCACATTTCTGAGAAATGCTGTAACGGCCATTCTGAAGAAAAATCTGGAGAAAAACACAACAACAATAGTTGCCGTGGAAACAACAACAACAATAGTTGCGATAGAGATAACAACGAGAAATAGAAAATCACAACAGAGAATTAACAGAGACCGCTTCGAGTTGTAACGGTTGTGTCGCAACAATCGTTACAAAGCCATTCACGCCAACGGTGAAGGGTGAAAGAATTGTGAATTCAGCCTTCCGGAGAGGAAATAAGAGTGTTATTTCCCCGAATTCAGGAATCCGGAGGGGTCTTGAGGCTTGGACTCGAACTGATAAAAACTAACTTTTAGCTTTCTGGTTATGCCCTGAATTGAATTTAAAAAACATCTCGATTCATTTCCAGATAATGAGAAGCTAGGAGTCGAGGGAAAAGGTTGATCCATCTTCGATGGAGATGATGATTTTTATCTACTGAACAAAAACAATAGTAGTATAGTAATTAGTAGTAGCCCTGTTTTTAGGAGTGACCTCGTGGTCTGGGGTTGCTGAGACCCAGCCATGAGCTCACTATTCTTGCATATAATTAAGTTAATCTGGGTGTTTTGACCGAAGCCGAAAGCAGGAATGTTTTTGTCGACCCGATGTTAGAAAGACCACCAAAAGAACTGGCTTTGGTAGAGACGGTGAAAAACATGTAGAGCTTTGTTTAGACGCTGGCCAGTCGTTTTGTAGCTAGCTTTATTTTCCGTCGATATGTACTTCCGGGCGAATGTTATATAGATGTTTTTATGGCGCTCCTGGGTGTTATTCTTTTTTAACATCATGACCGGCAGAACCGTTAACGAGCACTCCGCGCCTAGCGGATGCTCATTTCATTGCCCTTAATAGGCCCTAACCGCCGGGGCGGAAGGGTAGTTCGGAACGCGGAAGCATTCCGGATTCCTGTGAATAGTTTTTTAACCTAGTTAAGACCAAAAATTCACGTTCCAGGAAGGGTGGGGGGATTGGCGTGATTCTTGAATAAATAAAACGTTAAAAAAAATTAAGTACAATTTTTTGAAATTTTTGAGTTAGGACAGTAAAAATTGTTGTTCGGACAACATCCACTAGTGAATCGACAGGTTTTAAAAACCGTTTGCCGATAACCTTCCGGTTTACAGAGAAATCGAACTTAAATTGTTTGGTTTAGTGGATTCATCAATCCGGAGGGGTCCAAATAGCATAGTTTTTGGCAGATTTTTTCAAGTAGAGCGTTTTAGATCGGGTTTTTTGCAATGAACTAGACTAGTATAGGCCTTCTAAGCTCGGATCAATAATTTTTAGGTCGAATGGAACAGAATTGCGAAAAAAGTTAGGCGGAACCTAAAAGAGAGAAAATTTTTTGATTTTAGAAAAAGACGTTTTGGTTGACAACTTTAGAATTAATAGACAGATCCAGTTGATCTTAGTACCATTAGATCCAAAATTAGGTGAGCTTACTCATAAAAACATCAATTATTCAAAAAAATAAACGTAAAAATTTTTTAAGATTGTTTTAAGTAAATTCACCACTTCGGGAAGGTAGACCCTTCACGTTTTATAAAAAATTTTTTGGAAAGCCCTTACACCCCTACCATAGGGTAGTAACGGTTGAATAAGGCAATTTTACGCTGTTCAAAGCGAAAAGGGAAGGCTGAGGGGACCAGAAAACTATTGTCAATTCGAAGCTAGGCTAGTGATAAGACCCTTCACCGTTAGGGTGAATTGTCAAATAAGAGGCTTAACTTCAATCCGGAAGGGTCTAAGGAAAGACGATACACATTTCCTAGTTAGTTCAAACAGCATGATAACATCGGAGAAGGTATCCGGAAGGGTATCGGGTGAAAATTAAGAAAGTCCCCGAGAAGCTATTTTTACAAACCCGGAGGGGTCCCAATCCGGAGGGGTCCCAATTTTGCCAATCCGGAGGAATACCAATTCTGCCAATCCGGAGGGGTCCATTTTTGCCAATCCGGAGGGGTCCCAATTTTGCCAATCCGGGGGGTCAAATTTTTTGTCAATCCGGAGGGGTATTGTTTTGTCAAGACTTAAGAAGACAACAGAAAAGAAAGTAGTTAAAGGTATTAGGTTATTAGGACATAGGCTGGCAACCAGTGACTGCACTGGTAACTTGCCTTTTATAAAAAACCAAAACAAAACAAAACAGGTCGAAGCTCGGATATTTGCGTTACTAGGTCTAAATTGAACAAGAGTGTATAATTCATTGGTGTGGATTGAAATCCAAAACGTTTTTGAGAAAAGTGATTGCCCTGAGGATTTTAGTAGGTCTGGCTCGCGCAGTCCGAAGGCAGATAGGTAACACAGGACTAGGTGGGTGCAATAGACGCCCAATTGAAAAATTTACTGCCTTCAAGTTTTGTCTGTTAGGTGCAGCATCAAGCAGGGAAAGCTCTTTCTTTAGAAACAAGTTCGACTATTGTATTGCAACCTATCAAAATTAAAAAACAAATACGTTTTTCATAGAAAATTTTCTTATTTTTGTTAATTATGGTTTTAAATCAAAAATATTTGTGGTTAATTGGGTAATATAATGATAATGAGTACGGGATAATGATAATGAGTACGGGATGTATTTTGCATTTTGACAATACGGAGGAACTTTTTCAGGTTTCCAAGTTTTGAAGAAAAAAAATCAAAATTTTGCTCTGGCGCCTGGCTACCAGAACTAAGTACATTTTGACGTTTGAAAAACCTAGAACGAATGTGTTTTGATAAAATTGTTGTCTATAAATTTTTGTGTGAAATTTACCGTTAAAACGTGTCGAATGTTCTTTTTACAAGAAAAACCGAAAGTTGAAAAGTCTAGTAGTATGCTCTTAGAATGCCTGTTTTACTGATTCCATTCATTGGATGGCGCCTGGTAAAGTTTTTCCTCATTTTGCTTAAACAACTGGATGAAACTTTTTTTTCAGAACCTACTCCGGAACCCTCGGTAATGAGAACAATATCTTTTAAATAGACTGATATCATCATACTGTGCTAGCTTCACATTTTACAACTAATAATCGATCATTTTGAATAAATTGTATACACGCTGTACTGTGATAACATACAAGAATTCGTGGTCACTATTTAATAGAAACGTTTGAAAATTTTTGGGTTGTGTTATTATTATAAGTAGTCAGATTAAAAGGACACTAGCAATCGATTTGAGTGTATAGGCAGTAAGAAGTGATAAAATAAAAATGAGTCTAGACAAGTCAAGGATACCTAAACTGAGTGATAGCTCAAGGAAATTTATACCGGAGAAATAGAGAAAAGCAATGAACGACCCTTTTGTGGAAAGGATCGCACGAACGCGGACCGACAAAGGGGAGATGGTTTCAGGCAGAATGGTTGAGACCAGGAGTCAAAAGTCTTCAGAAGAGTGAAACGCAATGCTAGAAGTGGAGGTCCATCCGGACCAGGCCATGGAAGAGAACCAGGAAATACATGAACCGGAGAGGAGAGGAAACAAAAGGCTGGCAAGTGAATCTACTCCGGTAGAACAAGGTCAAGATTTTGCCACTTCCACCGGACACTGGACCGAGGGGAGATGTCGGAACTGTCCGAAATCTCTATTGAAATTGTGGCAACTAGAAGATCACCCGCACACAACACCATGATGGCAGGCGTGACGGAGAAACAGGCAACGTCCTCATCGTTTTCAGAAAGAGTGAAGAATACTTTCGGAAACATCTTTCCATTTACCATGGGAGCGGGTACAGGCGATGAAGGAGAATCTCAGGAGGAAGAAGAGGACGATGACGAGCAAGTTGACTTTGGATCTCGAGTCAGCCTCAATAGTTCGACTCAGGAGAATGAAGCATACACCGACAGAAGGACTGGCACCATGGACCAATTTGGTGTGGTGAGGACAATAAGCAAAACCACAAACACATCAGGCCAGTCAGGAGACTTTGTGAGTATGACGAATTCGGAAATGCAAACTGGGGAGAATAGAAACACAGGGCTAAGCAACGCACCGGCGGATCCAGAGGTGGATAAGGAAAATACGTCGCGGCAGAGACTCAAAGCCCAAATCTCGGCCAGCACCAAGCTACCTGGGATCGACAGGGTAACACCGCCACTTGTGACGCCACTAGTGGATAACGGAGCATCAATTGAAGAAGCCTTGACCAACATAGTGAGCAGTATAGGAGAACAGAATGAACAGATGTCCATAAGAATGAGTGAACTAGAAAGGGCAGTCCACGTCGAGAGAGAAAGTCTGCGGGAAGAGATCAACCGCAACAGACAAGAAGCTAGCAGAAGCGAAAAACGCTTGAAGGAGAGAACGGATGAACACTTAGCGAAGAACCTGTTGCTATTGACTAGGGAGGCTGAGCACAGAGAGTAACGATTGAGAGACGACATGGAGAAGTTGAGAATTCAACAAGAGCAGACTCTTGGGACTCTTGACACGAAGACAGATGCAATGATAGAGAAGCGAACTCAGGCTATCATGGATAGGTTGGACGGGCTACTAGACAGCAGGAGTGGACCAAAAGATGGGGAACCGAACTCGGGAGGACCCAGCAGGGAGCCGAGGGTGAACTTCATTGACCAACAAAATAGGAGAAAGACATATGGATCCACTAGAGGTAGGGGCAGTTCATCAGGCTATGCCCTAGGGGTTAATAGAACATGGGGCCAAAACATC